TGGGGTGGAGGCAGTTTTTATGGGGACCAAATCAACTTTAAGAGAGACCCATTCCTTAGTTGATCTGCCATAAGATACTGTTTGTAGACTCTCTAAGGAGATAACAATGTGGACATCAGGAATGCAGTGGTTAGCAAAATCTGTGTGATCATTTGGTAAAGACAGGGCAGAAATTCAGCAAGGGGAAAAGTTGTTCAGAAGACTGGACACTTGTTCTTGAGGAAAAACAGAAAGAGTAAATCCCATAGGCTAATGTCACAGATACAGGTTTTACTTTTTAAATTTTGATGATTTTATAAATATGGAGATTACTCATGTTGTTAGAATGGATAAAAGAAAACAGTGCCTCACAGAAATATTAAATGTAAAAAAGTCAGTACGTTTAAAAATACATTTTAAAATATATTTGGTTAAGAGTTAGGTATATCAAAGAGTCCGCTTTTTATTTTACTTCTTGAAAAAGTCAGTAAGTCTGATCCATATTCATTCTAGCTACATCAAGCATCTTTATATGCACAGTATAGAATCTGTCCCTCAATTTATCTTTAGCTGAAGCAACCTTTAAATTCATATTTTTCTCATTTATTTTATTAATCTGTACCACTTCCTTGCCATTTGATCAACTCATCTTAATTTCACTTTCTTTTATTTCTGCATTCACTTCACTTCATGTGAGTGACCCAGTCTGCCTCTGACATTACACATACATAGATGTTAATTTTTAGTTTTATTAGAACCTTTTATTGTCTAGGATTAGTGTCAGCTTCTGCTGTTTGCTTAAAGAAGCTTTAGTGCAGTATCAGGAATCACTGCAGAGAGCACCAGGAGCAGTAACGACTGAAACAAGGTATTTGAGTTTATTCCCTCTTCTGAGGTGCCTTCATGTGGTATCACTAGGGTGCAGGGGCACACTCCTTGATTAACAAGACATTGAAATTCACTATAAAAAGTGCACAAGCCCAGCTCAAAGCTGCACTCAGTGGGTCACCAGTCATTTCTGGGACTGTCACCATGCCAGCAGCAACACAGCCTCTTTCCTCCTCATCTGTCACATCCGTGACTCCACAAGGTCAACAGGACCCAGTGCTGACTCCTGATGCGAGCTGACATTTACTCCCGCTTTCGTACTGCATGCCAGTTGGTTTGGCACTGAAGGTCAGTTTGTCTAACATATCCTGCATGAGGTAGATGCATCTTTTCAACATTCATCTGTTTCTGTTCAGTAGTTCAGCACAGAGCCTTTAATCACTCTGGATTATACAAAGACATGCATAGCACAATATGCCATTCACTGGATATGATTATAATGACAAAATTTCAGCTGTTCCAGGCAGGTGATCCCTGTCAGCCCTTTCCAAAGTTCTCTGGTGTGCAGCAGTATCATCTCAATTCAACAGTGATCAATGCACAGTGTAATATTTTCCTTATGCTGAATAATAGACCACACAAACCTACGTTCACCTGACATATGACACTAAAGAGATGTGTCATTGGGCATCTTCCAGTCTCAACATCAGTGTACCTACCACGCACGTCACCTAGCACAGGTGCTTTCCTAAGTGTCTTTCTGCATGCTGTCAAAGCTCCTCTTTCCTTTTCACATCTTCACGAGTCCTTTAGGTCCATTGTATATATCACTCTTGCGATCTAATGATTCCAAACCCTGCTATTCAGTTCATTTCTTTGCAATATACCACACTCATTTCTAAAGCAAGTTACTTCATGCTCCTTTTAAGTCTGCGTCATTCTTTCTCTTACCTTGAAAATTCATAGAAGATCTCTTTTCTTCCTCTGCATGTAAACTACGAGACGTTACAACATTCTTCACCGGCTTGTGTTGGGGTGGGGTCTCGGCACAGGAATCTGTGACCTCTTGGGCCATTTTTGGATCGGCTGACTTTTACTTGCAATATTATGAGTCTGTGCAGTACTTCTCGTGTGGAAGGTTTTTATATAGCAACCTTAGCCTTTCCAGCTTTTCTGATGTTTGGGGAGTCTTTGTCCTTTTAAGTTTTTGACTAGAAGTATTCTACAGCTTTCCACTGTAATTACTTACATAATATTATGCTACAGTAGCTCAAGTCTGATTGTTTAAGTGTCTGAGTAGGACATTTCATGAAAAATGACCTTACAAATGTAGCTTTGTACTTGACATTTCCATATGAAAGTCATTAAACAAGAGATTAATTTTTCTCCTTTGGGCTCAGGGCAGTTCTTATCTGTGTGAGTGGTCCTATTGACTACAAAAGGACTTTTCATATCAGTCATGACTGTAGGACTGGACTCTTGTCTTCATGTTTTGGAGACAATTTAAGGCCTGTTCAACAGCAGCTGCTTGTGGCATGGAGTGGAATACGTATCCTGTGCCAAGTGGTCAGGTTCACACAGCTTATTGCTCAGCCCACTCCAGTGAAAACCAAAAAGCCATCTTGTCCTCTCCATCACTCTTCCTGCAAAGCATCAAATGTCAGAACATGTTGTGGAATAAAAAATGAATGGAACAACTTTAACTGAAATATCTTTTTTCTTTCTTTTTTTTTGAATAAGCGCAAAAAGCATGAGTTTGCTGCTGTTTCAGTCAATGGTAGTTTTGCTAATTGTAATAAATGTTCTGAACTTTCATGAAGTAACATCTAAATAACAAAGGGTTTCTTTACACAGTATTGCCATTGGAAAAATCTACAGATTTGTTATAAAGTATCATTGGTAAATATCTGCCAATTATTTTGCAATTTGAAGTCTCTGATTTTTTTATCTTCCATCTGATTCACTTGCGGGGATTGTCTTTTTCATAGGCCATTCACCGTGTCGAGAGAAATGCTCAGGGAAGATATTGTACCTAAGAGAATTAGAGAAAACCTGCATTTCCCCAGTGATTTCTGCAACTTCATTTCTTCTGCCAGTAAAGATTTAATTATAAGCATTCTCCATGCAAGTCCATCTTTATAAAAGGACATTGTGTTTTGATTATTTAGAACCTGAAGTCACAAAGGGCATGTTGTAATTAGATTTACTTTGGTAGGAATTGAAAATGTACAGTAGTAGTCAGAATCCCTAGGGGAAGATTTCTAATAAAATCTCCATTGAATTTATTCATATGTGGAAAGAACAGTCAATATTTGTGGTATGAAATGTCAATAAAAGTAAAAAAGTATTAGCATTCAGTGTATGTTACAGTGCATGACCTCGCCAGTTAGAATATCGCAGCTTTGTTTCACAAAGCTTCTATGTGCTTTTAAAAATATAATCTCTAAAGGAGAGCAGAATTAGTCAAAAACAGAGCTCCCTAGTCATGAAAATGGGTATCTTAATATAAGATATAACCTTATACATATATATATTTTTTAAAGTATCTTATGGAAGTGAAAGGTAAAATATCTGTAGTGTTTTTCATTACCATGAATGCAGATGAGAGGATCATTTTCTAATATACAGGCGTGTGGGGGGATTCACTGGCATCTTAATGGTGGCAGAGGCCACTCAGCTATCTCCTTGCTATTTTATCTTTTTCACTGGATTGGATAAAAGATAGCAATATAAAAAGTGTTAAGGCAGAGAAAATATGGCAGCATGTTGTTCCATTAATTTGATGTTCTCTTTAATGAACTTCTGACTTACACATAGATTCCTGTGATACCTACCAGTCCTGAGTTCACTGCCAAAATCCTAAATCAGTGGCAAAGGGTGAAGTTTTTATTTGCCAGTCAGTTCTTCGGGGATGGTACCATCTGCTTCCATAGCCCCAGACAAACCAAATAGTGATTCAGAATAAAAATGCCCCTCAATGGGATAATTTTTCCTCAAGGGCTGCAGTGTTACAAAGCACACGGATCCAGTTTCACATCTATTCTCTGGTAAGGACGTACTGCCTGGAAACCATACAGATTTCTTTTATGTAGGGAGAGTTATGCGTCTTTTCTCTTGCTGACCAGCCATCAACAGGACTGCATTCCTTCTAGCCTCTTGCTCTGAAATTCAATATGCGAGTGTTGACCTGCATTGACTGAATTGAACAGTTGGACTGGGCTTCCTTCAGCCTGTTGTCTCCTCACCATTCAGTGTATATCCCTTTTATCCACCTTCCTCCACAACTTCAAGGAATCAGTGAGCAACATTTCAGTCCTGAGAGCTGTCAGTGTATTCACTGCATTAGAAACATGGTCTTCTTGGTAGTGAAAAAAAACCCCACTTAGTTTCCAATACAAAATTCCTGCTTATAAATTTAAAATGCACTTTTCATTAATATTCTCTAACGCTAACTTTAAATATCTCATTTGTTTTCTATGTTGTCTGTGGAAAAGGCTGCATAAATTCAAGTAAATTCCACATGTTTATTCATGGAATAAATGGAAACATGGGAAATGTAGCAAATTATTTGCCTATGAGTTAAATTACCACTGTGAGGCAAAGTTTAGGAGTTTTAAATGCTGCTGTAGAAAAGCAGATGTTTAACGCCCAACAGCTGCTCTGTAGCCATCCACGGTCACCTTTCTGCCTTGCTCTAGCCAACACCTATGAGACTGAAATGAACTGAAAAGTTTTACTAACTTTCAAATGTGAGTTACTTCACATGGAGTACTGAGACTACATTAAACACTTTGGCAGGTTTCCAGAGTCCCTTTCTTTTTCAGTTATATGGATTTATTTAGTAATGAACAGAATTTGGGGTTTTTTTAAAGAAGGAGTTTGTGCATTACTGTCTGCCATGCTCTATATCTAGCTACATGTCTATCACATTGGATATTTCTTATCTAGAGTCCATTTTGGGGTCAATATAGGTAAACATTGTTTGTTTACAGTACCTATTATCAACACCTTCCATAGCTTTGCAGTTGTGGAAGACAGACCACCTACATTCACACAAACACACACACAGGCACACACACAGGGTCCAAACATCTTCATTATTGCTTGTCCATGTACACTGCTAATCTTCTTAGGTATTTTAAGCATGGCATGATGGTTCCTGTCATTCACAGTTTGTTTTATTCATCCTTCAGGTCTCCTGTAATGGCTGGAGGTCTCTTTGCCGTTAACCGGAAGTGGTTTTGGGAGCTGGGAGGCTATGATCCAGGATTAGAAATATGGGGAGGAGAGCAGTATGAAATCTCCTTTAAGGTAAGTCATCAAGTCACCTTATATGATACTTCCATACTTGTTTGGTACAAGACTCAGTCTTACACCTCCAGATTTTCATTTCTTGTATGTTTTGTGATCATGATGCTTTCATTCATACTGGCTTTTGTCTTTTAATTAGTTTAGGGCAATACTATTTTTTTCCTTTAGGAATTTCCACTAATTTCACAGGGGACTATGCCATAAACATATGCTCCAGAAGCCATACAAAAATCACACTGAGTGCAGTTCCCTCTGAAAATCTAGTAACTTACCACCATCAAAGAATGAATTTCGACCTTGTGCTTTTTGTCTTCTCCACTTAACCTTCTCTCAGATGCTGCATTTACTTCATGCTCAAGGGTTGAGCTCAGCTCAATAAGCCAAGAGGAAACTAATCCAGAAAAAAAGAAAGCTGCATAATTTTCTGTCCAGATCAACAACTTTTATTATCTCTGAGGGTAGGATCCCCAAGAGTCAGCTTGGGGAAATGAGGGGAAATGGAAAGAGAAAGTCGTAGGAAGAAGACCCCCTTTCAGTAGCAGTGGATCACTAGGTCAGCTCAGCTGCTATGAGCTGTTATCTACTGGCCAAATTTTCAAAATCAGGTGATTTTTTAATTGTATTTGAATTGTAATGATGAAATATATGGGGAGTTTTCAAGTGCACAGGTTATGTACAACCAGCAATGGTATATCATCTGTGTCAACATGTGTATTCAAATCAGTTACTTGGCTTTTACATATCAAGTTGAAAGTCTTGTTACTTTCCACATGTAAAATAGTTATTTGCATTAGTTTGATGAGGAATAAGATGTCTAATTTTGAAAATTAAGTTTATTATGTTCCAGTATACCTAAAGATGTAAGGAATCTACATGCAAAGATTTTCAGTGACTTGATGGAATTTCATTACATAGATGAATTGAGTCAAGCATATTTGGATAAGGCTTGGAACTGAAATTAGAATTCACGTTTAGCTTCAGGATCTTTCCAACCTACTTCCAAACTCTGACAGTGTAAAGCTCAGCAAGTAAATTTAGTATGTCAGCCATGACTAATATCATACATCTTGCTGCATCTGAGTTTCAACAGCGATTCAAACAGAGCTGTGGCCATTCTGTTGAACTAAACATATAGCATGACCCGACATTGGACTGCCAGGCTGTCTTTACAGGAGTTATCAAGAACAGCAAAATTGTTTGTATTAACTCTGTTGCTCTCATGTTTCTCCAAATCATTTTTATGCCCCAGCAAAATAAAACAGAAGGCGGGGGAAACCCAATGTATTTAGAATATATTAATTTACCTTCTGCCCATTTAGGTTGTTTCAGAGGTAAACGTAAGAAGTCACTGGTAGCTGTCACAGTGGTCTCTGACAGGTCGACAGGATTTCATTATCCTATTTCAAATATTCTTTTTATTTGTCATCACAAAGAATATACTTGTAATGCTTTCCGGTCTTTGTAGAGAAACCATGGTAACAGCACTGGAAATTGAGATACTACGTTGTCCAAGTGATAGATTTTTTGGAGGCAGCTATGTCACACTGGGTCTCATTTCAGTCATATCTCCTGATTCATCTCATTAGTAGATAATGACCTTAGGGTCCTGGTCCTTTCTGATTAGTGTTAAAAGAAAAAAATACTCTTTAGAAATGGTTGCTAAATAGGAACAACTTCCTATTGGAAGAATTTAACAGATGTCAGTTTTACGAAGACAACTGCTATTTTGTTTGGAATGACAAAAAAAATGGGAGAGAAATCATGGAGGCGGGAAGAGAAACAGAAAGGACTAGTTTTCATTATATCAGAATCACTAATATCAGCTCGGGAAAGGTTTCTGCTTCAACACTGTAGCTATAGAATCAGTCATTTTAAAACTTATTTAAACAAGGGCAAGTTAGCCAGACAGTTTAATTTACCAGCTTTATTCACAAAACTTGGGAAGATGGTAGACTTGCCATCTCTCTGTTATTCACAAAGTCAATGAAAAAGCCAGATGACCAGCCTGGTTCTGTTTCCTCAGCTGCTTGAGTGAGTCTGAAACTACATCTTACCTTTCCTTAGAGTGTCCACACATGGAAGTGTCATAGGACGGGTGCCCTGTGTTGATGCCATGTCTCACACTAATGGTATTTTGCTTGGCAAATAATTATTTGGAGTGTCCTGCCTCAAGAACATGTCTAACCACCAGACATTTAGCTTTTCTCACTCATTTCTTCTTTGACTCCATTAATCCTAGTATTTTGTAAAACCATGACTGGTTTTCATTAAAAAATCGTAAAAATCAGCTGATTTCTTGTAATTGTGGGAAGTTCGTATTTGGAGGACTGTTTCATGCTGATCTTTAACCTCAGTGACAGACACGGTGTTGCTTTTGTGTTCTTCATATATCATCTTGCTTTTAACCTTGAGATTCATTTGAACAAAAGCTGCTATATAATGATAAATAAGTAAACAGTCCAGCTACTATAAAGAGACCATGCTGATGACACAACCTTCTCAGTGTCAGACTGGGGATTCTTGTGGCTAATTCAAATAGAGTGATGTAATTATGAGGGGGTGCGTGCCAGAGCAAGAGTTGTCATGTGCTCCCTGAAATGAAGTAGTGTCTGGTCATCTTCAACTGGTTGCCCTGCTCTGTGAGCTGGAGCGAGGAGTGTTCGCAGATCGCTTCTAGTCTTCTCTACTCAGTGATGCATTTTAAACTCCGTGGATCGACAGACTTACCTTTACGTTACCGACTAACCCTTCTGCTTAACATTTTAACAGTAGGTCCAGGTACTATAGAATAAACTAGCTGTGGCATGTGTCTCTAATTAGTCTAATTAGTCTCTAACTGCTAATGTTTTGATGTAAAGGTAAGCTTACAGGTATGTTAAGGAAGATTTTTGATAAATGTGTGGGTGAATATCATGTCTATGTGTCCAAATCCACTGGTGGCAAACATGGAATCATGTTTAAGAAACAGTGTATGTTTGATATACACTGGCCTAATTTTATTTGGAGAAGAATTTCCTATATGTTGGAATGAAGCTTCACCCCACAGAAACATTTGCACACCAAGGGGAAAAGATCACTTGATAATTGATATCCTGTTAAGGAAAAGCATCTTCTTGATCACAAGCCTCTGAATTACTGTACCATAGGCATCCACAGTCACCTCCACAACTCGAGTTACAGGAGTGTTTGCTACATAGCAGGTGGGAAGCCAGGAGTGACAAGTGTGGGCTTAGAGAGTCAGAGAAATTAGATCTTTCAGAAAAGATGATAGCTAGATCTGTGCTAGTCGAGACTCAATAAAATAGTTTGTCTAAAGTCCTCTGACTTAAGGAATTATTAGCTTCTTCATCGTGAACTTAATATCAACTACTCTGCTCCGCTCACTGTAATCTTCTGCTGCACATTGAACCCCAGACACGCAATGAGGCTGGTGTTGGATCAAGGGCCATCATGCAAGCTCAAAGGAATCACTAATAATAGCAAAGCCATATTGCTTTATGAGTTCAAGACACTGAGACAGAGTTCAAGGACTGATTAAAAATTAGATTAGCAGGACAAGTGGTTGCCTGGGGAGTCAGGCAGCAGTTCCTGGACAAGAAGAGGTCAAACCAGATTTAGGAAAGGTATTCAGGCTGGGAAGCTTGGAGGGGAATTGTCGATTTTGATGGTTTTGATGTTTTGATGTTTCAATTTGGCTGTTTCAGTAGATGTGACCTGGGGTGACAGACACCACGCTTCAGTGCAGAGCACAGTCCTAACCAAAAGTCTTTTTCGGGCGGAGGGGAAGGTTGTATTATCTCATTGAACGGGGACAGAAGGTGGGTAGTGCAAGCAAAAAATATATGGTTTTGTGTGTTTGGGGGGGAAGGGTGTTCAACAGGAAAAGAAAGATACTACAGAGAGTCTGCAGTGAATCTAAATTTACTGCAGTGTGATTCAGTAAGTTTCTCCAAAATACAGTCTGTTTTATAATGTTTCTGCGACATTTGGAATTGTGCCACAGCAGGAAAGGCAACTTCCTCAAACTTCAGTTGTGACTACTCCAGGTGCTGAGTTGCCAAGAACACAGAGAGACAGGTTAAAAAAAAAAAAAAAAGCTGCTACTTAAAAATTTGCTTGACCTTTATTTCCTTGACTACGAAAGCCAACATATTTCTTTTGTTCTTTTCTTCCTTGGAAACATTGCTGCAGAGGGCAGCAGCAGGCGTAGCACTGGGTGCCAGGCTGATTAACTGCTGTTTCCAGATCAGAGCACACACATGCACATTCAATGGATGGTGAGGCAGCCACAACCCATGTCTCAAAATATGACCTCTTCCTTAAACAGTTTCTTAGATTAATTTTTACATAAGAAATAATGTGCAGCACTTTAAATTTCTGGCAGCATAACCTCGGGATCAATTTTTTAATTAAAAATATGTATGATATCTTGCTGACAATACTGTTCAGCATGTGCTAGACTTGTGAAAGCTGGCAAAGTGCTGGAACTGACCTGATTGATAGCGTCTCTTCTCAATAACCGGGGAAGCCTCTATTTAAGAAATCCTAAATTTAAATCTGTTAGAAAGGCATAGTTTATGTAGTAATCTCCAAACTACAGAGCAGTGAAAGACACTAATTTCCTGTGTTTGCTGAAGGTCCTTTATGCTGGACATTCCTTAGGCATCATAAATCATACCTTAAAAAAAAACACTAACAGTGCTACCCTAGCCAGTCGCCTATATCTGAAGTTGTTTTATCCTTATCCATGCTGACGTGTCTTCCAGATTCTCTTCATCCCTCTTTTCCAACACACACCTCCAAGTTCATTAATCCCTTTCTTTATCATCTTCATCATTAATTCCCTCCACTGATGGCAGTCTTGGCAGGCCATAGGGAGGGGGGGAGCATTACCACTTTTCCGTGCAGTTGAAATCTATATGAAGAACTGACAAACATGGAGTATTGCCACTTTTCTCAACATTTTAGAGGTGCCATTGAGTATTGTTGAAATATCCACA